CGTAGATCATGATGTTCTGTTAGAATCGCTGAAAACTGTTTTCCAAAATTCGCAGCGGGTAGTGTACAGGATCGATTTCTGTGGAACCCAGTAGCTGTCAAAACTTTCACATTTTTACGAATAACTCGGAAATCGTAAATTTTTCAGGTAAAACGGTTGAAACAAACATAAATTAAAATTGAACGGCCAATCTGAAAATAACAAAAAAAAAGGGGGGTTTCATTTAAAAAACCAGAGTTGGTAACTACCACACGTTTATGATGCACCCTGTATATTGGAAAGTAATTTTAGAATGTGGACCTTTTAAACGTGAAAAACTTTCGTTGGACGAATGTTCTTGTAAACTTCATATTTACTGAGATATCGCACTTTGACGCACTAATGAGCAACCCTGTATTTTATTATGTTATGTAACCATACAGGTATAATACTGTATAGCTGACTTGATTTTAAATTTAGTGTTAATTTATTTTGTGTAAAACCAACGTAAAACTACTGATAAATGAGGATAATTTAAATTAATTCTGTATTTTCCGTACTATTGCAATTTACCTTTTATATTTTCTAAAGCAATGCTATCTAGGGATAAAGATAACCCTCCATCACCTCTAATAAGATCTTGCCTAGTGCTTTTTTCGCGGGAATACTTGGAATAGTTTATGGAAAATCTGAAAAATTGTAAGTTAAAATAATGAATTAGGAAAAACATATGGTGAATTCCGTTTACCTGGAACGGTCACTAAAAAATACCGGCAATTGATCTGGCACGCTTCCATAACAGTCATTTGTGCTGCTATCTCCGATAGGAATGTTATGCAACTTATATGTTTGGCACAAATATCTCATAATCGGTTCAGGAGCAGTAAACAAGAAATTAACATAAGCACCAAATCCGAATTTTCTGAGATGCTCAATTGGAATCTTTGGTTTCTTGTAGTCTGTAGAGGCAGGTCCTATGGAATACAAATGTGCCATTATTTGCCATATTTACTTTTATTTGTGAGTTTTGATCTACAGTTGAGGTTTTATTTACAAGAGCGAACATATTTTACAAATGAAGAAATTAATATAATCGATAAGAGAGCGAGTTGAAAAAAATGAGTATAAGATTAAGAAGAAATCGTTTAAACACGCAATTAAATTTATTTGAGTTATTTTTCATAAAAAAAATGTTTTTATTGAATATGGATATAATCGAGTACTAACCTGAATGTAGAACGTTTACTGACAAACCTTGCTGTTTCCTGATGTAACCAATGAACAAGTTCATGTCATATTTATCCGTGCACGTAAACGCTAATCGATCTCTGAAAGGCACCAAGGATTCTACATATTTTGACTTGGACTTATCCAGCACGTTTAGTTCAAGCATTATTGGCTCAAAAATTTCACCTAAAAATAATAACATGATATAATAGTTCTTTTGCACAATGTAGTATGTATACATTATTTGAGTGTCTGCTTTCTCAACAATGTATCAATTAAATTATAATTATCTTATTCTTTTACCTTTAAACTTATCTTTATTTTCTCGTAGCCATAAAACTGCCGAGTAGGCATCTTTGTTTAATTTCCTTAACTGCAAATATTAAAATAAGTATTAAATTTAAGTATGTACTAAAACAAATCGAACTTACTTGCTCAAATCTAATTTGTTTAACGTTTTCAATTTTGCTTTGCTCGTATTGCAATGCTTTAATGCTTGCTTTCTTTGCTAGGCGGTCTTGTTCAATCAAATCTCTTTGGTCTTGCAACTGCCTTTTCCGATCAGTGCATCTTGTAATATGTTTGAAAATCTCTTGCGACTCATGTTCGTCTTGAAAAATAAACGTATATCCTGAGAGTTTTGAAATTTGAAACTGCGAAGTTAATTATACCTTGGTTCACTTTCTTTAAAAGGGTTCTATACACTTTTTTGCTGTCTTCTAATTTGACGGTTGCTTCCTGAATTTGTTTGTCCCATTGTTCGCACTCTGCTAATTTCGTATTCATTTCATCCTCAAAATGCCTTACTTTCGACATAAGAGCTTCCATTTTCTCAATAGTGGTATTGATAAGGCCTTCTTTATTTCTGTAATTTTTTATTGAATCTCACTGTAGATTATTTTCATTAATTACTATTTTAAGTACAATTATTTCAAGGGTAAACTATAATAATCATACTATAAATGAAAACAAACAAAATATAAAATTGAAAAAATGTGCAAAAATTTACATACATTCAAGCACTTTGAGCAACCTTAGTATGTAAAATAAAATTAAATGTTCTTACTTACCGAATATTTTGTGTTATTTTTGAGTTTTTTTGTTGGAAGTCGTTCAAAGATGCTCTATGGGCATGAATCTCTTTTTCCAAAGGTTTCATTTCTTGTCTAAAGCAAAATGTATCAGCAAACAGGTCAAATAGTCGAATGACTGAATGATTTACCTGTATTTGTCATATATTGCTTGTGCCGATTGTTTATCTTTCTTAATTTCAGTAAGTTTATCACGTTTGTCCTCATATTCAATCCAGGCGATTTGTCGATCAATATCAGCAATCATTTCTAAAATATGGGGTCAAAAAACAATTGCCACAAATAAATGCACGCCAAACCAATCGGATGTATTCGATCCCAACGTGTAATAACCAGGTTGTTCGTAGTTGTAAAATAAATAGCTTTCTATCATCTAAAGTGCCAAAAATTGTACTAACCTTTGTACTTTTTCATTTCATTGAAATTTTTAACTTTTCCTTCTAATCTGCAATTGGCATCGTGCGATTCTTGCAAATTTTGCGTGTGTTTATTAAGTTGTTCTAACAAAGATCTGTGCTTTGCTCTGGCTTCAATTAAAGATTGTTGCTTTTCCAACAAATCATCTCTACATAAAGCAATCTGAATTTTAAAAAAACGTTTCATAAGTAAGTACTCGAGTCCACCTACTTATCTAATGAATAATTCATTTACGAAGTAATTAGTGTTAGTTTTTAATTCTTCTTGGTTGCTATTATTGAAATATGTTGCGTTTTTTATAAAACGGTTCATTTTCTTAAGGATCTTTATGTTTATGATGTTGAGCAACCAAAAAACTTATACGCAATATTAAGACAAAATAATGTAAATTTGAAAATGTACTACTAGTACTTAAATACTGGTGTAAATTCAATCTTTCAATTACCTGGGTTTCTCTTAATAACTCCTTCTTGTTTAGTTTGGCAAAATCCGCGACGCGGTCTTGAGGCAAAAATTGGCATAAATTATCAACCTAAAATCAAACGATAAACACATAATGAAATCAACTAATCAATGAGTAAATCTGGACTTTCGTTTCACCTGTATATTAAAATATTTAATACAATCTTGAATATTGCCAAATGAGCAAACGTTTCCATCTAATTTCCATTGAGATTTATCATGAATGTCGAATTGTCTGGTAACTTTAATAAAGGAATTTTCTGTCGATCCTTGTAGTTGGATGTTAATCTCTGCCGTGTTACAATTGTGTTTTACATATTCTGATATCCTGAAGAACAAAATGGTTATTCGGTCGGTTTGCTGATGGTGTTCAAGGTAATAAATGTGATTATTTTTCCTTAAAATGAACACAAAGTGAAATAATAGCCAAAGTGCTATTAATACCTATACCCTTTGAATAAACATTAAACACCACATGTCGTAGACGGACACGAACACATCAAATGAAATCATCAGATCCAAAATCGGCTACAACGCGAACGTGTTAATAGACGGACAAATTTTCAAGTCGCTGCTGCATAAAGAGTTAAAGTTATGATTTTTTTTTACTTCTTTGCCGCCCTTGGGCCTATATGTAAGCAACCCTTTAAAAACGGGGCTTTGAGCCGATTGGACTAAAATGTGTATAGACGGAGAGGGTCAAGTATCCTTAGTAGACAAATAAACTGTTAAGTATCTGCTTCATGAAGATTTGAAGCCCTATTTTTTTTGGCTTGTTCGTTTTTCTTTTGGATTTCTAGTTTACATCTTTGCCGCTCTTGAGACTTTTTTAAAATCCTTGAAAAATCAGTCCTTAGCCTAGTTTTTTGAGGCATCAGAAATAATCTCCTTAAAACAGACAGAAAGTTCCAGTCTGCTTCAAGAGGTTTTGAAACCACTCATTTGATTGATTCCCTGCGGTCCTCATATTTCCCGCTCTTTGGTAAAACTTTTAAAATTTGTATTTTAGGTGTTTTCTTATTTATTATTAAAATAAAAGATTTATATTGGGTACCTCTTGAACAGGGATTTTAACAACCCGTAAAAATTCAGAATTTTGTCATATTGGACGAATTGTTAATATCTTTTTCACGCTCGAGTCATGGCTATTGCACGTGCTTGTGTTAAAACATTCTTCTGATATGTAAAATTAATCAGTGTACGTAAATACAATGAAAAGTTATTAGCATGATTTTCAGGTAACTCATAGGCGTTTTTGCACCAAATAAGTAATATGTGTCTATCAGTAGATATTTTTATCTAATCCATTTTATCTTTTCGAATCAAATAGTGTTCATTTTCCTACTTGCAATTAAATTAAAAAATGTTGAACTGTTGGACATGAAACTGTTGCACATATCTACTTATTATCAATATATTAAATACATACTTAGTACCTCTACCCACTGTTTTGGGCTGGCCCCCTAGGCCTAGAATAATAGCAGCAACGATCGTAGATTTTCCTGTTCCATTGGGGCCTATAATCATGTTCAAATTAGGCCCTGGAAACATTTCCATATAACTATAGGTTACAAAGTTTTTCACTTGGATTTTCCGTATAGACCCCGGATTAAACATGTTTCGGCCTTTTCCCCGAAAAAAGATTATATCTTATCTGACTCTAGCGCATACTGTGGTTCTTTAAACAAGTGCAACGCCAAATTAATACAAAACACAACTAACTGATAAAATTTTCAAACAACAACAAATACAGCGCCTGAACAAATCAAAACCTTATGGACATGTGACAAATGAAATTCATTTAGCTACGTTCCAAAATAGAACCCTTGTGTTCACTTCCACAATCGTGACAAATATGTTGTTATTTCTGTCGTTACATTGCGTAAAGCAAGATGCCTAAACGCGAACCTAAAATATTTAATTTTAATTACTAAATTAATTTAAATAATAATAAAACTAATTAAATTACCGTTACCTTTAATTTTAATACATGAGAAAAAGAATAAAACTTTTTTCAATAGCATCAACGGTTCAGAATACCGTTGATGCCCAAAAAACGATTTTTCGCACTTCCTTTAATTATTTAAACAATGTTTCACAACCGGAAATCTAGCACAAACTATTGTCTCAATATTCTGACATCTTTCCGAACAACTCCTTTTACTTTCATATTTTTAGTGCCTGAAACAGGCCTTTTCAAGTCTACTCTGACTAAAATAAGTTTCAGCTCGGTTTCAGGTACAAACCAATATTTATCATGGGCCAAAATAACAGGTGAAAAAATTCCAGATCCTTGGAATAGGTACGAGTTTGGAACAGTCACACATGGAACCTGTGCTTCAAAAATACTGGGTTGTGTCATCCCTACTCGTGATAAATGATCTACCACCCTGTTGCCGATTACGAAACATTTCACAAATTCTTTAAAAATAATACTCTTTATGTATATATGAAAATAACAAGAAAGTAGTATATTTCAAAGTATCACAAACAAACTAAACCCGAAACCGGTTCTGAGGGTACTTGTTTTTGACACATCCAAAAACTGTTCCCGTTTTTTTTAAGTAGTAGTTTGAGGTTCTTTTTGGTATAAAGCTTGCCAATGTATTGCCATGTTAACACATAATGTAATTCTAAACATTAGTATGACATCAATAGTAATTCTCTGCTAATCGCACTTAAACATTTGAGTTTTGCTTTAGTAACATACATTAAAATAATTCTGGTCATATGAGGATTTGCTTGAGATGTTGGCAACAGGGTTTGTATGGTTTTATGACTTTTCACTGGACGTTGTCATTACTGACAGTTTAGTATGTTTTAGTTGGTTTTAGTGTAGCGCAATGTAATTAATGTGAATATGATCTAAACATCACATTGCACATGAAAACATTTACATATGCAATTGAGAAGCTGTACTGCAAACAGTGAAAATTTACTTGGTGATATTTTTATCCAAATTTTTGTCTATTCTTTCATTGTCATCACACACCAACTAGAGGTAGAGGTGATATACATGTGTCTGTGTCATTCCAAGTTTCTGAACTATAATCAGTTGTTGTAAAAAGTATCTTTAATTGTTATTTCTAACAGACAGCTACGAAATATGACACAAAACAGGTAAATACCCTTCTTTATTTGTATGTTTTATTAACGTATGACAAGCATTACTGTATTGAATACTGAATACTCGGTAATCACTACTCGTCCATTTAAAATCGTGTGTATTCAATCATCATGTTTTTGCTTCCTAACGTTAGCCAAATCAATATTTTCCCAAACGGAGTGTTATTTCGTGACAGTAATTTAACACGTACTCGTTGTAAAAAGGACAACAGTTTGCCACATGAATAAAAAGAAAAAAATTGCACCGAACGATCCTGAAGACAGGCACACAAATAACACTAGTAGTATACATTTTTTCCCAAAGACACTTCTCAGCGATACCCTTAATGGCATCTCTAATATCAAATACTATAGACTATAGTATTTGCTAATATTCTTAAGCTTAAGTCTTAAGAAAGTTCCATAGAGTACGATTTTGGATGCAAGTTTCCAAACAAGAAAGGAGCCATTATTTTAACACCGAACAAAGCTTCTATGCCTTTTTAGAGGAAATATTTTAGCAGCTCTATTTACATCGTTTCGATCTATTTCATCAAAAACGTGCTAATGTACGTCAAAGTTACTAGTTTTTACACGTGATTTCCTTAAACGACGTACACGGATGTCTGAAAATATTTGCTTTGGAATAACATTGATGGTCGACATCCGACGTTTTTTTGTAACCATTTTTGGAAGAATTTAAGTGCATTAAGCATGCATTTTTTTTGCTTTTCGCCAGCTCAGTAAATATCGATTACAAAATTGGTGTTTTTACTCAACTGGGTTCTCTCCTTTCAACATTCACATCTTTCAAACTAAAGCAAGTAGCGATCCGAAATGTTCACCGTATTAAGGAGACACTTTGCTGTAAAAATGCTGAACATCTTGTAAAAATTGACTTGAATCCTAACTTTTGCCCGTTCTCGCATTTAAAAACTCCCATATTTTTTTGAACAAAAAGTTTGTTTCAGATTTAAAGATGAGATGGCAAGAAGAACCTAAAAGTTACGTAAAATTGCCTTTTGTCACCGTAATATAAATCGGTCTCAAAATTGAGGGTTGCAACCATCCATTTTGTCAGTGTTCGTCTGTGTGTGTGTTCATCAGAGTATGAGTCAAACCATGGTTTAACTCAACTGGGCATTCGCCTTTAAACATTCACATCCTGGTTGTAACAATGCTGATCGTCTTGTAAAAATCGACCTCAATTCTGATTTTTGTCAGCTAAATAAAGATCAGTCTCAAAATTGATATTTTTTTCCACTGCGTTCTCTCATTTAAAAAGTTGCATATGCCTAGCTAAAGCAAGTAAGAATTTGAATTAGATGTAAAGCTGAGATGCAAAAAAGAAGCTGAAAGTTTCATAAAAATCGCACCAAATCTCAAATTGCGTTCTCTACTTTTAAAATTTTCATCTTGCGAACTAACGCAAATAAGAATTTGAAATCTTTACCATCTTCAATATCTGAAGATTCGTAAAATCGGCCAGAATCCGGATCCCAATTGAGTCTCACTAAAACCTTTATAGTTCGTGAAACTTCAGATAATTAAACTTTCATAAACTCTTCTGAGTAGTAAAACAAACTGTTTTATGCATTTTCTGAAATTCGAACTTACTTTTCTTTGTGGAACATCCTTCTCCATCCTTCTCAATTTTACAGTTGCAAAGTTTGATAAATGAAATTACAATGTCGAGTTACACATTAATTAAAGAGTACATTATTATGCAAAATCTATATTTTTTTAAATAAAAATAATTCTTTAATTAAGATACTTTTCAGTAAGCATTTTTTTATTTTAAGCAGTATAATCCAAGGATTTTTCAAACCAGAGGTATAATTTTTAAGTGAATATAGCGCAAGGTCTGCAACCCAGGCATGTAGGTTTTGTTGGCAATACGCAGTGTGATTCATGCCACCTAATCAAATAGAGTTTGATGAACACATGAGTACGTGATTGAATAACATCTGAGTTTAAGAGCGCAAAAGACGGTTTTAGGTTTTCTGAGATCTAATATAATATCGCTATCGTTAAATCTATGCATGCTTGGTTTCGGTTAGTCTACAATGTTTTTTAAAAGACGTTCTCGTTCAAGACTAAGTTTGGTTTTAAAGTTACAAATTCTTTTTTTTTTAACGAAAAACCTGTTAACATTTGGGCAAAATCGCAGCTAGTTTTTCAATTTTTCTACTAATAGAGCCACAACCATGGATCACTCAAAATAATATTTATTTACAAGTAAAGTAATCCACTTGATACATACATTATAAAAACTTTAGCTGATGTTGCCTGCGAATCGCAATATTTTTTTGTAATAAAATCAATGTTAGCAATTTTGTTTTAGCGCAGAAGCTGCCGTCAACATTTTTTTACTCGGAAACTGCGTTGTACAAAACGTTTTAAGTAACCCTTTCGTTTACAAATCAAACAGAAATTTTAAAAATATACTTCGTTTGTAGAGAAATCTGACTAAACTGAAAGCAACCTTTGTATCTCAAAACTTATTGGTATCAGCTCAAAACTAATAATATTAATGCATTGTTTTATTAAAGATTTAGCTCTGTAGAATATCATAAAGTAAGCGTTTTTAGAAAATGGTGTATTAATAAGGTATTATATAAATAATAGTTTGTACTACAGTCGTTAAGAACAGCAGCAGGCAGCAGTTTTAATAGAAGACTGCATGTTATTTTTGGAAATCACGCGCATATTTACAGTCATACTTTGGCGCCCTGTACTATTCTATACTGAAATATTGTTAATATTTGTTTGTAGTATTTGGATGTTCCTTTTTTTACTTATTTAATTGTATCCAAGTAGTTATTTCACAATCTTACTTCAGCTTTAATAGCAATTTTTAAATTTACTTTAAACACATTTTCAATATTAATTCACTATTACTGTTATTTGCTTTTTTTCAGGAAGCGAGCCCGGAGCGTCCATGACGAAATCGAATTCATGCCATTGTCAAAAAGAATAAACAATCTTCATATAAACAATATGCTAATGGAAAGTCAAAATCAATTCTCGAATTCTGCATGGTGTCAATCCAATGGCACTTTTACTAGTCAGAATAATCCTATTCCAGTATCACCATGTGGATCAGAACAGAGCACGGAAGGGGTGTACCTCCCATATTCCCCAGATCTGACGGAATCTCAAAATCCTCATTATTTTAACATTAATAAGCTTCTTTATGAAGTGTATATGGAACGTGTTCGTAGAGGATGTAATTAAATATAAGTAGTGACTTATTATCTTATTGTTTAGTTAGCTTTATGCAGTGTTATAAAAATGTAGGTGGATTTCTTATACTGCATAGGGCTTGTCTGGGGAACAGATTATTTCTCTACTGCCATTTAGGAATATTATTCATATGAGACACGATTCTTTTTTTACTACAAATATTAACATTCATATCTTTATTATGGCTCTTTCCTGGTTTTTACTAGTTCATTCTTTTTTACCTTTTATATTTTACTGGATTTGTTAATAACATATACAAATTGATATAAAGGATATGCTGTATTTACTATTCACAACTCTTCATGATAAGACAGGCGATATGCTTTGGATGAGTTAACACTTGAATTATTAGGATTTTTTGATAGGTCAGATACTCTTGTATGCCTAGACTAATTTATTGAAGTGTAAATTATATTAGTAATTATATGTGCAAAATGTTTAATTTTTATTGTTATTATTTTGAATATTGGGTATGTCAGTCGGCGACACATAAAAGTAGACGATTAAATAGTTGTGTAAATCTGACTTTCTACCTCCATCTGCCTTTGCGTAAATGGCATAACACTGACAAATAAAATTTCATTTTATTTCAATCAATTTCATTCATTCAAAGTTATTTGCAAAAATTCAAATAATTACATTTATTGAAAAAAGATGGTCAAGAAAACAGTAGCTGAGATATTTAGAAAACCGAAGAGCACGATTAACATAGAAATTAATTAAATTGTTAAATTAAAACAATTTTGTGATATACATTGTACATAAATATATATATTTGACGTATTTCACAAAGTCTGATTTACCAAAATCAGAAAAAATCGCCCTTAGTCTACTCGTCTACTTTCATGTGTCGCCAATTGTACATTAGCATATATGAAGTTGTATATGTATATCTTTCTAAATTAAAATCATGAAAATATATGCAATTGGTATTTAATTACCAAACCATCGGCTTCTATTATATTTTTCTCTGTTTAATTATGGTTGAATTAAATACACCCAGTTCTTATAAGTAAGCAATTTTTCGCTTTGAAAATTGAATGTTCTGTGGTCCCCTACCAAGCAATAACGTACTATGTAGTCACCACAGAAGAAAGTTCCGTGGTTGTCACCTTGTGTCCATGACCGATGCGACGAAAGACGAGGAGGAACAACTAAACCCCAAATTGTTTCATTTATTTTTGGTAAACATGACTGAGACTCCGGTTTTAACTAAAAAACAGCGAAAGGCCACCCTTTCGGCTAGAAAAACTAAAACCAAAATTACCTTAAGGAATGTTCTTGTTATTCCATTTGCCAAATATTGGTAAGTTTTGTTTTTATTAGTTCAAATACATGCCCTTATTATATTTTACTCTTTCATTAGGTCAAATGTAGAATTCTCGATAGTGTACGTAAAGTATAAGTACCTATATGGCATATGGGTATACCCATATATGAATGAAGCAAATTGGAAAACATTAGCTTTTAACTTGAATAGAAAATATATAAAAAACGTTTAAACATTACCTATTTGGCAATATCCAGGATGATCCTAAATGAGACACTTTTCTTACTTGCTGCTCTGGCCCATGAGCCCCTAAGTGCAACCACCACAAAACTTTACATTTATTCCCGAATCCGAAAGTACTTACTTATAACACAACATATTTCAAAAATTTAGTTATTTATTGATTGGTTTCAAAACAGAGCTAATTCTGAAGTGTATGTGAAGCTATACAATATGGTACTCTATGTTCTGAGCAAGGTGATTCAACATATTTAATTTACTTAAGTGACTTGGGCACCTCTCCTTTAGTTTGAGAAAAAGGGGGTAACTTTTTTCAGCCCAGTTTTATATACATTTGTGTATTTTTATGTTTGCAAATAAAATTATACTAATATTGTGTAGTTAAGTAGTATAATTTTTTTAAAGTATAATAAGTAGAAATTATAATTGCAACGATGATTATTATTATTCACTATCATTCTTGTAGATGCTTCTGAACTTACATTAAAACATTTTAATGTATGCACAATTAGATCATGCACTTTCCTTACTATTGTAATGTAAGAGGTTTTTTAATTTTGCAGAGTTTTCTTATTAATTTAAATTGACGACAACTTTAGTCTATACTTCAGATCATCAGATAATTGAGAAGTTTATTTATATGAAATTCAGGTCATTATCACGCAGTTAATGTTCGGGAATTTTACTAATTACATGGTAATTTGTGGGCTTTGTAGTGAAAGTGTTAAAAAGAGTTCATTCAGAATATTAATTGTTTTGTAAATTAGAGCGTCTAATAGAACCACTACATGTTTATTTTAAAAATTACCTATTTGATCTGAAGAATTTGAACCAGGTGGGGTAGAAGTAAAATCTTCGGTTAAATAGATTTTTTTAGACTTTATAGCTAATAGATTGAATTCTTATTGAAACGAATCATTATTAAAGTTTATTTTATGAAAGATAACAATTTGTTTGAATAAAATTTTCTAAATGATTTAATGTCCAATTAAATTATGTAGCAAAAGTCTGACTGATGATAGAGCATCAGCCATATCTGAGAATTTTTGATTTAGGTTCACTTTCGAAATTATTATAAATGTATTTTATGTTAAAAAAAGAGGAAAAATGCTAAAAAAAGCTATTTGTGTGATGCATAGAGTAATCATTGCAATTAACAACTTATATTGATTTTATAACAATACATTTTTACTACCCGCGGGTATCAACGGTTTTACTTTGTATAGATTGACATAATTAAGCTTAACTGAATTACTTAATTACTTAATTTGTAAATTCGTTCATTTAACTAGAACCTTTTTTAAATAATCCTGTGTAGATCGGAAACTGAAAGTTTTATTAATATGGTATATGTAATAAAAAATAATATATTTTAATAGACGAAAATTATTTTTTGTCAGTAAACTGCGGGTTATTTTCTATAAAAGTCATCTGAAACTTACCGCAACAGCTAAAACGTTTTTCTATAATAAAATTTTTCTAAGGAAACCTATTAGGTCTTATCAAGCATCTTTCTAAGGATCAAATTTTTCATTAAACGACAAAGCTTTGAAAAGGCAAACAATTTTAGTGTTTGGATTAGGTACCCATGTTATAGACTTCTTGTTGTGTAAGTTCAATGTTCAAAATTGATACTTCAATAAGCTGTTAACTGTTAATAAACCAATAAACGAAGTTTATTTCGCTATTCGTTATTGTTATATTACAAATAGTAATCTAATTGTAATCTTTATTTGGACCAGGCCTATCATTAATGGGGACGACGCGAAGGAACTTTACGATGTTATGTCCAAAGATCTGCCAAATATGGTTGTGAAAAAGCCAAAAATTCTTTTTACTGAGCTTAAAAACGTCCCAAAGGCTGATCGGAAGGCATTCAAGAAGTTGTATTTACTGAACCACCCAGATGGTAGCAATGAAGAGCGCATAAAGAAAAGGTAAGTGCCTGTTTGTAAATGGGTAATAGTTCTGTTATACAATTAAAATATCTGAAGGGTTTATTGTACTGTAATTAGTACAAGAAGTTGTAATACTCTGTGATGATCTTACGGTAATAATTCACATACCTGCAAATATTCAGCGGTTTCGTACAGCTGGATAATAGTTATAAATGGAGGATATCTGGAGTTGTAAGAGTATTTTTTATCTCACTTTCTTCAATAGGATCGTAAGAATACGTAATGATGATAATAATAATAATGATGAAGTTCTTCTTTCGTTTAAAAGTTTTATTATATAAAATGGCTGTTTTTCTGAAAACGCCACGACGAGGAACGACGAGGGAGATTCTGGATTCTGGAATTAGTTTTGGAAATATCAATATTTCGTTTCCCTAAATTTAATCTAGTAAGATATTAGATGTTGACAAATGAGGTTTGCTTCCGTAGACCGCTTTCATATGAAATTTTACAATACAAGTACATATAAAATTTGTGTCGTTCTGGTGTGTTACTTCTTCCATGAATTACACCCTAACTTAAAGTGTTCTTGCATTCTCAATACGAATGGTTTGAGTTTTCAAAAAAAAAAAATATATAAAATTTCTTCAGGTTTAAAAGTTAACTCTTTCAAACGTTTACATTTGCGACTAACAGCTTTTGATATATGTAGATAGCAGAATTGCTATCGAAGCGTCAAGGAAACTTTTATAAAACAATCTCTTAGCTAATTGGAATTTTCTATTACAGCTTGAGCCTAAGTCTATTATTCATTTAAATGTAGCTAGGGTATAATGATCGTTCTTGCTTGATTTTTGATAAATAATTCTTTCTTTATTGTGAAATTTGATCGACTTTTATCAATCCGTAAAATTTGAAGCCAAACACCCAACGACAAGGTTTTTTTATGTTTTCATAAATATGCCTCAATATATAGTTATAACACTTATATAAGAACAGTCTATACAAATCGTCTAAAGTTGTTCATTTTTTAATAATCCAAAAATATATCTGCTTACTTATAAAATTGCATATGTAAAGAAAGACAATGAGGTGTTTTAAGGCAATGGAGTGTTTTTATGAAAGTTACTGAAATAGTGATCTGCTGATAGATTCTGTGAGTGTCGAGAACGTTTAGGCATATGGTAATAACGAATAATTATCTATTTTTGCTCTCAGCTGTGAGTATGAATTCGATGGTGCAATAATATATGCAGGGGTGATACTAATAACATTTTCAGATCGTCATTGTAGAGCCAATAAATTCTATGATAGACACTGTTTTAAACTTTTGCAGAACTAATAGGAACCTTGCGAATCGGTTCAGACACTTAAAGAAATATCCATGGGTATCGTAGTTTTCAATCGCTGTAATCATTTTGTCGCTTTTTAAATTTGTGTTTTAAAATCAATCTGAAGATTAACTTGGGAATTAATAGCTTTTCTTCGTTGCTGAAGTGTTCTTTATTGCTTTGTGACTAGTGACTTTTTTTAGGGAAGGTGTAATATTTGGAGTAAACGATATAACAAAAGTAGTTGAACAATGCATAGTTAAGTCTGTGCTCATCACAGATGACGTTAAGCCCAAGTTAATGGTAGAACATCTGATTGATCAATGTGTTTTATTCAGAATTCCGACTTTAGTTGTTCCCAATTTGCGAACTAAATTGGAAAAAATATGCGGTTTTTCAAGCATTGCCATTGGTTTTACGCAACCAGTAAAATATGAAGACATACAGCAGACAATTGAAAAGCTGTGGGTCAAATGCCCAGTACCTAGAGAACATATTAATTTTAAAAGATCCGTTGATCGAATGGATGTAATTGTTATTAATGAAACTCTAGATACAAGTATTGTTAAAGCCTCTGAAAGCAAAGCAAATGAGCACATGGATGTACCTAACTCGCCAATGTCGGTTACTGAATGTAGCTCAATCTATTTGTATAGAAAAGGAAAAGGAGAAAGAGCATTTGTTCCAGAAAAAAGTAGCGATGAATATAAAAATAGCAGCAAAATGGACACAGATGAATCTGGGTTTTTATCATTTTCCAATGGTCAAAATATTTGCAACCAAACAGAGGAAAACTCTGACAAGTATATACCTTTGAAGGTAAAGAAAATTAGAGGAGACTCTAATCGGCGAAAGAGAAAAATTGAAGAAATGAAGAAAGTGAAGAAAAAGCCGAAGTCTTAAGAGGTTTTTAAATTTGTATTTCATGAGCTGGATTAACTTTGTAACACTTGTTGTAATATATATATTTTAAGTGATTTTTTTTACCACGTTTTGGAACCAATCCTTAGCTGTAAACACAAATGGTATTTATTCAATATTTATTTATATTCTCTGATACAGATCTCTTTATATTATAAAAGCATTTTACTCTCCGCTAATCTAGTTTAACAGTCTTACTAAATATAATTTAAAAAATAGGTACATTTTGCACATAAAATGTGGTTTTTGTTATGTCACAAAGCGAGGGTTGTTTTGCCAATTTTTATTATTTATTGATTTGTTTCCTAAAATACACAGATCTCATGGGTTTTTCAAGTCATTCAATATCATTCGTTTGTATATGCATCTTATAGTTAAAGCTTTCTTTGTAATACTTTGTGTGCTGCAGCAAATTATGCCTTAGTAGGTGCCGTTGACTTCAACGGTTGAGATTCCCCTTCACTATCAGGTTTATTCCATGCTTGCTCTTCACCGGATCCAAAGATTGAAAATACGATAAATTCAATTGCATACAATGCCACTGTGATCCAGAAAAGAATCCTCCAAGAATTGATAGAATCCTAAGAAATACAATGTTGGGTTGAACGGATTGTGTTTTATGCCAAAAATATAATGGGATTCGTCGTTAGACATTCAGAGGCAAGTGATGAATACGTACGTCTTTTTTTGTTAGGGCACTAACAACAAACGGTACTGCTATTCCGGGAATAGTAGCCACTGTGTTAGTAACAGCAACAAGAGTTCCGGCGAAATTAGGTGCAATATCTATGTGATTTGATAAAAATCCACAGAACATTCCTCCTATAGCAGTCACAGCAAGAGTCATCAGTACTACTCCTGTTTGTTGTCCATCCAAGTAACAAAGACTTACGAAACAAATCAATGGACCCATACTAGCCACACCTGTGGCGATTTTCCTTGCGGTAGTGGTGGAAATAATCTAACAAATATAAGAATAATTTATAAACTAAGATATTAGTTTATTTAGACAAAACCAACTCAATGAAAATGTTTGAGATTAATTGAAGTATTAATTGATCAAAGCTCTCTTGAGGATTACTTGTGAAGTTTTTTAAACATTTTATCCATTTAATTTTTTAACTGGGGATAATTGATTTGCAAACAGTGTCAGCACCTTGTGCGTTAATTACAGCTTGTTATTCATAATTGAGGAAAATATCTAAATTTGCTTTAATTGGAAATGTTATGTTTAAAATGTTGATGCATTTTTAGAAATAGAACAGCCAGAGTTCTTAATTTAGTTATATTTTGTCATCTTTATGGTTGGCTATATACTTACGTTCTTTCCTCTCAAATGATCCATAATTTTACTGAATATCATCGAGAAAATCCACATGGTGAGAAACGGTAGAGCAGTCAGGAATGAGTTTTCTTCCAGCTTGAATTTGAGTACGGTTTTCATGTACAGAGGTAGTTCCACAAGAACCATGTACCATCCCCAGTTGGAACATGTATGCGCAACTAAGATGGCTAGGAAGGCTGGCGAAGTCATTGCGGCTTTCCAGGGCATTTTTAACTGGATAATTAAGTATAAATCTGATGAAAAATCAATTAATATTTTCCGCATATTCTTACTTCATGTGCGCCGGAGCTTTCGCCTTCAGTTTGATTCAAAGATTTCATGATAAACTCGCGCTCTTCGGGATTAATTTTTTTTTGGGTCGCTGGACTGTCTGCTGCCAAAAAGAACCAGAGCAAAAGCCACAATGCACTGGCTCCACCTTCTATATAAAAGATCCACATCCATCCCAGTTTTGCTCCTATTATTCCGGCAAGCAGCATGAAGAACTACGCAAAGTATCATTGTTAAAAAATGAACTAGTTGATGCAAGTAATAAGTATTTACAGAATATTCTTGTGTGACGTTCTGTCCAAAATTAAGCTTAAAGCGTCTCTTATAAACATAGAGGTAATCACATTTTCGATAACGTAAGTTATGTCCCTGATTACCCAAATCAAAAACTTGAAAACTCGCAAATTTTTCTAACGCTAAGAACTTTTCCATCGTAAAATCACCTGACGTTTGTTGTTGTTTCAGAGATCCATAGTTGACTAAATACATTCGAAACGCCGAAAATATTTTTCATTATTGTTAAATTCACTTTATTTTGAACCCATCAGTTTTTATTCATATTTGCATTCTTCTAAACCTATAACAACAAAATTACATGTTTCCTAAGACATCTAGGAATTTTAATTTTGGCAAGTTTGATGTTGCAAAAGAAAACTTCTAAAATTATTTTAATGTTCAATTTTTAATATTATTTATTTAATATTGAATTGATTAAATATTTAAATCTACTCTTATGTAAAGCTTATGTCTCAAATTGTTAAATAACAAGGACGCAGAATTTTTTTTGCCCAAAAACTATAACTGCTACAAGAGTTTCCAAAAAGCCCAAAAATGTCCAGAAAAGATTTTACAGCGAGTTTTAATAAAATTCATGGTACCATTCTCCCGATATTTCCAAAAATGTAATTTTTTTTTAAAGAATTTTGACCATCAATAGTAGAGGAGCAGGACATTTTCTCTGAATAAAAGTTAGCCCTGATCGTCTTCTTTTGATCCATAGAATACCACAGTGCTGTTTTGATCATGTGCTTACGGAACACCCTGTATAAAAATCTACATGAATCCAAAAAGGACGCGTTAGAACAAACTAGAAACTGAAATTAATTCAATACGTTCCTTCCATAAGCGAATTCTTTTAAAAGTTTTTATTACTACTTTGAAAAAACTAGATAGTTTTTTCGCCGTAAATGGCAATGTTTTTATCGAAAGAATGAAGCAGGCCTGTCGTAAGTTGCATACAGGGTGCAATAATGAATTTTAGGCATGCAGTGCGGTTTTTTTTATTGTTCAACGTTTTCCTTTGTGCCTTTTGCAAGGGCGGATCCAGCGGAAGCAGTGTCATGTTCAAGTGGATTTTGCAACTCAAAAAAAAACCACGCAAATCTAAAACTTCTTGAATTCAAGCATTTTTTGAGAAAACTGCAA